GAGCGCAGGCTCCTGGGAGGAGTTTAAATGGGAGTGGATGGTCTGACATCTTACTTTTGTAGACTCTTTCCAAAGACTTCGGTGTCTTGCTGAGGCTCTCACCAGGCATTTGAAAAACTACTTCTAAAGAATACAGTTTCTAAATGAGCTGAATGCCTTTAGATTTCTGAGGTTTCTGTTTTCTTATCATGGGTTTCTGAGGTAGCTTGGGGGAGTAAGTGGGAGCCTTGGGTTTGGAGTTAAGAGCTAAGCAGCTTCAGGTGGCCCTGGAAGGTCATGTGATTAGTACAGGCTCTCTGGAGTCACTGAGCCAGAGTGGAACACGGATGTGCTGCAGACTGGCTCTCCTTAAAATCCCAGAGCCATGTGGACTCGCCTGTCTGATGGGGACAGCCATCCCCTGCAGGACTGTGTTGAGATTAAATTTGAAAGTACACAGAGTGGCTACTGGCATAGTGGTCACTTAACTTTTCTGAGATAATCATATTTAACTGATATTTCCTTTTCTTGAAGTGTGAAGATGAGGCCTTTAAGGGTAGTTAAGAGGGTAAAATGAGACACTGTGTTCAGTTATGCTGCATAAACATGTCACTAAGCTTTAGTTAGAGAAGACCTTCACAGGGACCTTGGTCACCTTTTCCAGTTTGAACACTAACGTAGCAACCTGTTTTCTTATTTATAATTTTCTTGGAAACTTTTAAATTCCTCTGTTGCTTATGGTGATTTTCACAGAAAAGAATTTCGTAGACTGAAATATAGGGAAGAGATTACTTTCTATTCCTCTTAAAAATATATGTACAGGAGCTAGGGAGGTGGTTCAGTGGCATAGCACTTGCCTAGCATGTGTGAGGCCACAGAAAAAATGTATGTATAATATATGTACAGTATCTTTATTACAAAATTTACATATTTATTATATGTAAATATTTTTTATTATAAAATAATTTCATTATGTAAATTCTAGAGAAGAGAGAAGAAAATATGCTCACAACTGCATTGTACAGTAATAGTGGTTTTAAGACTGCACATCTGATCATTTTATATATATATATATATGTATTAGTGGTTTTAAGACTGCACATCTGATCATTTTATATATGTATATATATATGTATTAGTGGTTTTAAGACTGCACTTCTGATCATTTTATATATATGTATATATGTATTAGTGGTTTTAAGACTGCACGTCTGATCATTTTATATATATGTATATATGTATGTATATATGTGTATATATATGTATATATGTATGTATATATGTGTATATATGTATGTATATATGTGTATATATGTGTGTATATATGTGTATATGTGTATATATGTGTATATATGTATATATGTATGTATATATGTGTATATATGCATGTATATATATGCATATATATATGTATGTATATATGTATGTATATATGTGTATATATGTATATATGTATGTATATATGTATATATGTATATATGTGTGTATATATGTGTATATATGTATGTATATATGTGTATATATGTGTGTATGTATATATGTGTGTATATATGTATATATGTATGTATATATGTGTGTATATATGTATATATGTATGTATATATGTGTGTATATATGTGTATATATGTATATATGTGTGTATATATGTGTATATATGTATATATGTATGTATATATGTGTGTATATATGTGTATATATGTATATATGTGTGTATATATGTATATATGTGTGTATATATGTGTATATGTATGTATATATATGTGTATATATGTATATATGTATGTATATATGTGTATATATGTATATATGTGTGTATATATGTGTATATATGTATATATGTATGTATGTATGTGTGTATATATGTGTATACATGTATATATGTGTATATATGTATATATGTATGTATATATGTGTATATATGTATATATGTATGTATGTATGTGTATATGTGTGTATATATGTATATATGTATGTGTATATGTGTGTATATATGTGTATATATGTATATATGTGTGTATATATGTGTATATATGTATATATGTGTGTATGTATATATGTGTGTATATATGTGTATATATGTATATATGTGTGTATATATGTGGGTATATATGTGTATATATGTATATATGTATGTATATATGTGTGTATATATGTGTATATATGTATATATGTGTGTATATATGTGTATATATGTATATATGTGTGTATATATGTGTGTATATGTATATATGTATGTATATATGTGTGTATATATGTATATATGTATGTATATATGTGTGTATATATGTGTATATATGTATATATGTGTGTATATGTGTATATATGTATGTATGTATGTATGTGTGTATATATGTGTATACATGTATATATGTGTATATATATATGTATGTATATATGTGTATATATGTATATATGTATGTATATATGTGTGTATATGTGTGTATATATGTATATATGTGTGTATATATGTGTGTATATATGTATATATGTGTGTATATATGTGTATATATGTATGTATATATGTGTATATGTGTGTATATATGTATATATGTATGTATATGTGCGTATATATGTATATATGTATGTATATATGTGTGTATATATGTGTATATATGTATATATGTGTGTATATGTGTGTATATATGTGTATATATGTATATATGTGTGTATATATGTGTATATATGTATATATGTATGTATATATGTGTGTATATATGTGTATATATGTATATATGTATGTATATATGTGTGTATATATGTGTATATATGTATATATGTGTGTATATATGTGTATATATGTATATATGTATGTATATATGTGTGTATATATGTGTATATATGTGTGTATATATGTGTGTATATATGTGTGTATATGTGTATATATATATGTATGTGTGTTAAGGTTTCTGAGGTAGCTGGAAGAGGAGGAAAGAGCCTTGGTCTTGAGAGCTAATCAACTCCAGGCATCCTTGGGTTTTTAAATGTGTATTTATATATGCACACACATCTTACCTATCTTTAGAGGCACACACATCTTACCTATCTTTAGAGGCACACATCTTACCTATCTTTAGAGGCACACATCTTACCTATCTTTAGAGGCACATCTTAACCCATAATCATAGACAAATATGAATCTTGCTTTCTCTCTTGTAAGTTTTTCATATATGGCACATGTCTTTAGTATCTAGCTTATAGAATTGGGAAGATTCAATGCTTTAAATGCTTAGCATGGTGGCTGACATATTGGTGTCAATAAATGAGAGCTAGTTGTGATTATTTCCACTGTTTCATGTTATAGAACAGCATAGATTTTATCAGTTAGTTGTTATATTACTGTTGTGATTACATTACTGCATTGTTTTCCCCAAGTTTGTGTTCTTTCCTTGTGGCTGCCCAGAGAGGATGTCCTGTCTCAGGACAGACGCTCCTCAGGCTCCTGCTACCTTGCTGTCTGTGCAGAGGCGTTGAGCTCCTGAAGAGTCTCACTGGTCCTCCTCAGCACTGGGAGCATCCCAGCCCTTTTGTAGATTTAGGGAGCTAATGTAGGTACAAGATATCACCTCATTATTTTGATGTTCCCTTTCTAGTAAGCACTGGTGTTGAGCTTTTTCATTATACGCTTAGTGGCAACATTTCCTCTTATTTTAGCTCTTAGACTTATTTCTACTCAACTGTTAGAACCACTTAACATTTCTTTAAGTGCTTTTTAGTAAAGGCATTAATCCTTTGTCGTGGACTGAAAATATTTTTTCTGACTGTTCTCTTATTTTGGCTATGGGTTTAAAAAGTTCACACACACACACACACACACACACACACACACACAATGTGAACCGTCTTCTGTTTGTAGCTGACACAGGAATTTTCTCTCTATCCTTGCCAAGTCTGATGGTTGTGCATTGAGACTTCTCATGGTTACGTAAACTCCTAATACAGTGGGTCCACATGTCTTCTACTGTAAAATGGAATGCGTTTACCACCTAGAGTTAAATGCAGCCTCTTCATAGACACAGAGAATGTTTCCCTTGATTTAGGTGAAAGAAAGGAGCTTGATTTTTACCACAGCTTATAATTTTAGCTCTTACTGACTGGCATGTCCTAGACATTCTCCATCCTTTCCTCTTAAGACTGGTGTTCCTGAGGATATCACTGCAAATCCTTGTTTTGACATGCTATGGTCCACTCATCACAAGGCCTCAACCAAGTTCTTAGGAGAACCACTACTCTCACCTACCCAGGTCCTCCTCCTTTAGAGTTTTCTTTCAAGGAGGCACTAGGTCTTAGTGATATTTGGGGATTAAGAATGTGAGACTCTTCACGTGGATAACAATGCTCGTAAATCTTCCTTCTCTTACCAACTTGCTAAATCTAAACTTTTTCCCTGCACAAGGTGAGCAATCCCATCTGGCTTTCTACATTTTTTCCCCCCTGGGGATCCTTGCATGAGTGTCTTGGCATAGCAAAGTACGTCTATGTGACAGGCTTCAGAATGCTCAATGCCTCAGGTGACTGAGGAAGGCAGGGAGGCCATCTTGACTAGATCTTAGGGTGGAAACCACACTTGCTTGCTCTTTCTGGAGGAAGTATGTTATATCTTGTTAGGCTGATGAGTTGGAGTTACCATGTGGCTCTGTCACTGTACAAAAAACAAGGTCCCAGAAACAGGAGTGATGCCAACGGGAAGTTTTGAAGCTTTTTTTATTTGCATAAATATAATGAGAAGAGCACTTACACTAAAGGAATGTCCTCAAAGTTAATTCCAGAGTGTTTGCAAATCCCTTTCAACTTTGACTATCAGTTGTCCTTTAGGACAACTTTAGGCTTCCTTTTCAGCTCTCTATGCTGCGTTGCTAAAGAGTCCTGTCCTTTCTAATCATCAAAACCTGCATGGAACTTTACCAGAGAAACCCAGACCCCTGAGGTAGGACAGGAAGAAGAGGCCTGCACAGGGCCTCTGGTCACTGTGACAACAGATGGTGGCACACACAGACATTGCATTGGCTTCTGAGTCTAGATCTATAAATATATTTATTATAATATAACAAGAACTTAACAATAAACATATACTATATACAATACCATTACAGAGAACCCTGTTTTATATCATTCACAGAAATAGCCAGTTTTGCTCCAGTGTGATCGGTGAGGAGAGAAACGGAATTTCAGTGTCATCCGCGTGGAGTCCTGGTGACCACTAACACCTCCCTTGGAGGCAGATGCACACCAATGCTCACATTCGCCCTGCCCCAGGCAGTTAGAAATTTGTGCTCCAGTCCTTGGGTTCACACTTGCACCCTGTTTGACATAAATACTTTAAATGACATACAATGTATGTAGTTTTGTGCTTATTACTTCTTAAAATAATAAATAATATTAAAAACTGCATAACGAAGCTCGGTATCTTGTCCAAGTGGGAGCCACACTTGTAATTACTAGAAGTTGATGCCCGAGATTAGAATTGGAATTTTGTGTCATCAAATACTGAAAGATGGAAAGTGGTCCTGTCCTTCTCCTTATAAATGGTTCTTATCATGAAGTGATGACAAGCTGACTTCCCAGATAGAAAAATGATTAAATGTGTATTTGGTACCATCTTCAACCAAACAGCACGGTGGTGATGGCCTTCTTCCTGCCCTGGAATGGAAACTGATGACTGGGTGAGGTTTGAGGGTCTAAGGACTAGTGGGAGGCCTTTCTCTTTTGAGCCTTTTTGCCTCCTGGCTTCCCTTTGCTCAGGTTAGTATGTGACAAGAAGATTGATTCTGCTCATATCCAAACCTCAGGCCTTGGCTGTCATGGCTCGTCTAAAAAGGTTGTCCCCATCCCGAGAGCTCTTGTGGCAGGTGCCTTAATATATAGCTATAAATATCAAAAATAGTCTCCTGTGCTTTGTAGACATTTCTGTTCCCTCCCTCCCTCCCTCAGTCCCTTCCCCGGGCCTGGGTCCTCAGCTTTACCTCATGGAGGGAGCTGGATTGGTGTCGGCAGCCAGAACTGTGCCCTAGACCTGTGACCCTTCTTCCTCTGACAATGCCTCCATGAGGCACTGTCTTTATGGGGCTGGCTGGGAGTTACTTTTTCCAAAAATAAAGTGGGGGCATGGCCCACCCCAGGAGAGATCCTCTATTCTACACATAGAAAAATGAGAGCAAATGCGCTCTTCTGGCACTACCTACAAAGAGCTTTGGGAATTCCCACAACGTCATCCCTCTTGTGGCCTCCTCTCAGTACTTAAAAATAGCCTTTTGTTTATCAAGAAAATGCCTTGGAAATCTAAATAATTCATATTGGATAAGAGAAAGCTAGCACAACCACCTTGTCCTTCTCCAGCAAAAACATGGTAGAAAAACCCATGAAGGACAGATGGCTGTCCTCAGCAGTCCCTGCAGCTGCCGCCCTGGCCCTGTGCAGGCGGCTGGACTTCGCTTCTGTCCATCCCGGTGGGGACCAGTAGCCTCCTAGGCCTGATGCTGCACAATCCTGTCCCTCATTTTCTCTCAGCCACTTGAAAGTGTAGATTGGTTAAAAAACAAACGTAGGACTCAAAGTGTTAAGGACACTTTGATCTTATTCCAAAAGAGCCTGACGCCTAACATTGTCATAGGATAAGTGATCTATGGTGTTTTAGGGATCAAGCTTGCTCTGCAGGAAGGGAAAAACAGCTTCTCTCTCCCAGTTGAAAAATATGTGAAATATTGCACCAGGCAGAGTGAGTGCCCCTGTCCAGAGCAAATGCCTCTGCAGGAGCCAGCCAGGCCTGGCTTAACACATGTCCAGGTTCCTGCTGCCCAGACACTGTGCCCGTTTCACCCAAAGGCGAGGATGATTTTCTACATTCAATGTAGAGAATATTCAAAATGTTTAGCGCAGTGAGTTCCTTGATTGTGTTTTGTGGGCCTTTTATTGGTGTTGCTGAAAAATTATCATTGTGTACAGCATTTGCCTCACCAGACTCATCCACAGTCTTGTCATGGGCTTTCTGCTGATGTCAACCACTTTGAATATATTTCTTTATCACCACGCAGCCATGTCTGAACACAGGGCAGGGCATGTGGGGTAGGAGGGTCCATGTGTTGGTTGCAGGCTCATAGGCCTCCATGTTGCCCAGGGCGGGCCCCTCACTGCTCACGATGCCTCCAGTTGCATAAATCTTGCCATCGAGCACCACAGCACTGTCAGAGGAAAGTGGACAGATAATTAGGGCTTGAACTTCCAGCTTGGGCCTGGAGATAGACTCCTAACATTGTGTTGGTTGCCAGCTGCTTGCACCCTCTTGCAAAGGTCATGTGGATTCTTGCTGTTCTTCTTTGCCCTCTGACAAAACCTCTTTTCTCCAGGGACAATCAGGACATTGTACTGTACTGGTCTCCAAGCACAAGCCTAACCACAGCTGCAGAGTTGCCACCTGCGGTACGGGTGCTCGGCCCTCGCCACCGAACCCTTATTAAATCGTGTTGTACATACAGAGCCTTCTCAGTGGGAACAGGACTCAAGAACGCCAGGAGACAGAATAATAAGGACCTGATCTAATAGAACAGCAGCTACTTGACTGTGAGTTCTGCCTGTGCCCTGGGGCTCAGAGTTCAACCCTCTTCTTCTGTCTTCTTAACATGTGTGACCTGGGGGTGTTGTCTGCTCATGACTTCAAGGGACGGCCATACTCTGCAGAGCAATCAATGACTGCTCCAGGACCTCTTCCCTGTGAGACACTTCTGGCTTGGTCCCATCATCCCCATTAACTCTTCCCATCATGAGAGCACAGCATCAGTACCTCCCTGCGCTTCCTCCCTGCACTTCCTCCCTTAGCACCGTTTCTGTGCCCCTTCACACTGGCATCCTGATCCATGTCTCTAGCCCTCACTTCTCTTTCATTCCAGCTAGTGGCCATTTTCTCTTGGCTATTCATTGAAACTGGACACATAACTTTTCAAAGGCTCCACCTGTTTCAGAAATGCCTTGACTAGAACACATCCACCTGGACTTCTTAGCAGACACCAAGGCTTCCAGCCTGCTCTCTTCCAGGTCTACACCACACAGGGTCCTTGTGTCCCTCCCTTTGTGGACTATTATTTCCCACTTTTGCTAGGCTCAGCCTAAATATTTCCATCCACCTCTAGTCTCAGATCAGGCAGGGACCCCTCTCCGTAGCGGGCTCAATACTCCGGTTGTCTGTCAGTGATAGTATAGTCAGACTGTAATGTGCACATCACCATCATTAGAGGACGGGGCACGAGAGGAGTGCTCGAGAATCTAGAATTGCAATGCCAGCAGGGGCTTAGCAGATCTCAGGTACAACCACCTGTTTCACAGACAGAACTTTCCCAGGCCAGGAAATCATTGTCCAAGTTGCATGACATGCTAGGAGTAGGAGTTACATCTTTTCTAGCCATGCTACACAAACAGTTGGTACTCAATCAAAGCTTCATGCTGTTATACACTGAGGAGTCAGTGATTACCTTTGTGTAAGCACAAGGGTCTTCAGGAAGGACCTGCTATGCTGATAATAGGGTTTCTGGGGCCCAGAAGAGCAGGGACTGGTGTCTCATTGCCTGGGGCCAGGGGACTGGGGAACCACTCCTCGCTCTGCTTCCACTCCTCTCCTGCAGAGTCAGATCCCTATGTGCTTCTGCCCAGTCAGCCTTTGAGACTCCAGAGAAACTGGGCCTGGTTCACCTCACCTGGTTCAGCCTCCAAGGGCCATGGAGGTCATGCACGTGATCACAGCATTTATTAAGAAGCCACATGTTCTTGTGCAGTTCTGGCAAGCACCCTGGGAGAAGGTAGCCTCCCCTCTCATGGAAAGGAGGATGGCCTTGATGCCTCCTCCAGCATGAGATGGGGTCACCTGGAGCTACAGGTTGGGACTCTTGAGCCAGTGGGTGCCATGGCTGCCCTTGGGTGCTCCCTGCTCTGCTCTGGCTCTGACATCTGTCCTTGCGTTGGAGGGGAGGGTCACTACTCTGGCCTGGAAATCGCTTAGTAATGGAAAGGTGGTAAGTCCTTGTGATCACACCACTCCCATTGTCTCTGTCTGTCCCCCACACCTTTACAACCCCGGCCGAGTTGCCTCACCTGCAGAACTGGCGAGAATGGTTCATGTTGGGGCCCGCCTTGATGTTGCCTTTGTCTGGGTCATAGATGGTTGTGGCTCTGGCATAAGCCCCACCCAGGATGAACACGAAGCCATTGAGGGTGACTGCAGGTGCATACTTGTTGTCTGTGAGGACAACAGAGCAGGTGGGTCAAGATGTGTGGTCATTGCCTTCCCTCCCCTTTCTTTTTAGAAGACCAACCCCCAATATCATAATTGGCCTGAGGATAGGCTTGGGGCCAAGGGCACCTGTAGCCTTGACTGGCTTGCCTTTCTCCAGATGCTAAGACTCTGGCTGCACCTGGGTTCGGAGGCACCCACTCCCTAACCCCCAGACCTGGGTCTGCAGAACCACTGGGCTCAGCCTGGGCTGCTGAGGTTGAATGAATGAACGAGTCGGGTAGGAGGCACCCCACTGGCTTGGGCTGAGGAGACCTCTGGTCCTCACCGATCATTGGAGACTCGATGAAGCTCCAAGTGTTGTTCTGTGGCACATAGGACTGAAGGACGCCTGCAGCTCGGCCTGCCTCGTTTACCCCACCAAACACATAGATCTTGCCACCACACACGGTGGCTGCTGCAGAGTGCACTGCCTTGGGCAGAGGAGCCACTGCCTCCCATTGGTTGGTGATTGTGTCATACCTGTGGAAAGAGGAGAAAAGAGGAGTGTGCAGGGCAAGGTCACAGCCAAGGGCAGGCAGCAGTACTTGGGGGAGAAGAGCCATCTGTTTCTTGTCCTTTGCAACGCTGGCATGGCCTGAGCCCACAGGAGGGGGCACTGGTGTGAGGGGCTCCAGGCCTCTAGAGTTGCTTCAAACTGGTCCTCTTAGCCTCCTCTTGAACCTCAGTGGACACCGTTGCTTGTAAAGCCTCTCTGCTGACTCCTGTCTCCTGCCTTTGCTCACACAGCTCACCTGTTCGTGGACCCATCAGCCCTTCATCCAGCTCCAGCCCACCCTTCCCTGTGGTGATCCTGCCTGCTATGTACCAGGCTCTGGGATAGAAACTGAGGGGATGAGGGTGAACCAAGTGCCATTCCTGCCTTTCAGGAGCTGGTGGCCCCGTGAAGAAGACAGAAAATTAAGAAAACGCACAGGAACCGATGACAGTGCAGGATGTTGGTGTGACAGCAAGTGATGGACCAAAGCACACGCAGCAGGGCACCTAGCCTGCTTTCCTAGGTAGGGTTAGGCTTCCTGGAGAGTGACTCTGGGCTGGGCCTGGAGGGGGAAATCAGCTACCAACTGGGGAGGAGAGCCCCAGAATGGCTGAGCTCAGGCAACGCACCCCAGGTGAGGGGACAGTTGTGGGGTTGGTGGCATTTGGGGACCTTTTGGATTAGTCTGGAATGGCCAGAGGTCAGGTGGATTCAAAGGCCATGCATGCCTACCTCAGGGGTCCAGCTTTGTGAACAGGGCAGTGGGGAAGCCCAAAAGGTTTAAGCAGAGAGATAGTATGACAATGAAACCTGGACTCAGAGGAGTTACTGTGGCTGCAGGTGGATACAGTGCTTCAGTGAGGAGGCTGGAAGCAAAGAGAGTAGTTAAACCAGTCTGCTACAGGAAGCATGGTGAGAAGTCACAGTGGCTTGGTCCAAGAGATGACGAGAGCATGAGGAAGTGGGAAAAGGAGAGGGTGGGACAGAGCTGAGCGGCACGGAGCTGCTCAGGTGAGTCAGGGTCACTGCCTTGGGAGACTGGATGGAAGTAGCTATGGTGGGTGGGCAGGGAACCCAGGCTGGGTGGGGAGGGAGGGTGATTCCAGTTTTAATCAGGTAGAGTTTAGTATTTAGACACTACTAAAGTGTCTGTGGGTGGCAGGTTGGGTTTATACAGGAGCAGGGGGGTGGATGGTTCTGGGTTAAATATTCAGCTTTGGGGTCATTGGTACAAAGATAGAAATGAGGCCAAGGACTGCATTGGGAGAGTGCTGGTGGTATGAGGCTGGGGATATGCCAAGGCCATCAAACAGCCAGTGACCATGCTGCTGAGGTGGAGGGCTTCAAGTGTGGAGGCTGAGGTGAGAGTGCTTATGACACTCCTGCAGTCAAGGGTACCCTAGGTGGAGCAGGAGATGCAGAAGCCATTGTGTGTAGCAGCTGCAGGGGAGGCTTTGCAGTGAAGACTAGAGACAGCAGGTGTAGACTTGGAGGAAACTTAGCTGTGAAGAGGGGCAGAGAAGGTAGCACCCAGAAAGAGATAGAGGGCAAGAGGGAGTTTTGTCAGTGGAATGTAAATCAATGTTTATCAGCCACCTCTCTGAGGAAAAAGTTCTGCTGTGTAGCTTTTGCTGAGTTCTGGGGTGTAAATCCTCCCACCTGCCTGACTTTAAGCTACCAATGGGATGATGTAGCGGGGAGCCAGCTGTGGCCACAATTCTCTAGACCCTTCCAATGCAGCTACAACAGGCATCTGGACCCTCTAGAGCAGGCAAAAGAACAAAATGGCAGACAATTACAGAGTGATGAATTGTGAGTATGAATTACTTGTGTTCATATATATCTGTAAGGATATAATTTAATTTTTAGTAATAGCCACAGTTGATAACTGGCTTATAGAATTCCCAGATTTTTAACAATTGGCTCTCATGAGCCAGTATGAACCAGCTTCAGCACACCACATGTTTTAATTTGTTTTTGGGAGGGGAGGTTTAATTGTGTTTCCATGCTAACAGGAAGGAGCCCAAGTGGATAAGGAAAAACTAAATACACAGTTGGCTATTATACTGGTGCATTCCACATCTGTGGATTCAACCAACTGTAGCTAGAAAATATGAAAAAAAATGCACCTGTACTGAACATGTACTGACTTTTTTTCTTATTATTCCCTAAACAATATAGTGTGACAACTGTTTGTGCAGCATTCACATTACATTACGCACTGTAAGTAATGATGAAATGATTTAAATTATTTAACGTATATGGAGCAGTAATCATAGGCTATATTCCAACATTACACCATTATATACAAGGGACTTGAGAATCCACCAAGGATTTGGGTATCTGCTAGGTTCTGGAACCAATCCTCATGGATACCAAGGGACAGTGGTGTAAGAGAGAGAAGGTGTTACATGCTTGTAGCCCTGGGCTCAGGTAGGAGGATTGTTTGAGCTTAGGAGTTAAAGACCAGTCTAGGAAACATGGTGAAATCCTATATCAAAAAAACAGAAATGAAGGAAGGAAGGAAGAAAAGAATGAAGAAGGAGGAAAGAAAGAAGAAAAAGAAAAGAGGGAAGAGCTGGTGAAGTAAGGCTTCTGGTAGATCCAGCAGATGCAAATTGAATCCAGGGTGAGGAGGAGAGGGGGTGCCTATGGGCAAGAGAGAAGAAGGTAAGGATGGTAGGGGTGCAGGGACATTTGGTGAACTGAGAAGGAAGAAATATGTCCTCTTCACTGATAGACCTCTTTTCTTGGGAAGCAAGAGGTACAACTGGCACTAGTAGCGGGGCAGTCTATTTGTGGGGTCCAAGCTTTGAGGAGAGAGGGAGAAGAACAAATACCTGCTCTTGAGAGTGAGGCAAATGGCTGACAAGGCAACCCCAAGAGCCTGCCTTTCAGCATCTAGTGCATCACAGAGCCAGTCTGCAGGATGGTGGGATTTTCCCCATCAGCTGCAGGGATAGTGTGGTATTGGGCTGAATGGATCCACTGAACATGTGCTAAGGGATGAGGAAGTAGCAAAGTGAGAGGATGGAGAAGTGATGGAACCTGAGGTCCAGACAAGACAGGGGTAAAAGGAAGGAAGCAGCTGCTGGGAAGAGCAGAAATGGGATTAAGCACACTGGCCAAGGGACTGGGATCCTTGAGGTCTTTCTTCACGGGGGCACTTCTTTATCCCAGTCCTCAGCATCTGTCCAGTGTTCTTCAGGGCTGGCTGTCCTCACCATGCTCTTTTCTGACTCCAGCTGTCCCTGCACCTACTCACTACCCATCAGCACATCCATGGCTTCCACACTGCTCTGTGTGTGCATGGACTCAGAGCAGGGTCCAGAGTCAGCTCACTGTGCCACCGGAGTTGTTGTTTTTTTTTCCAGCACACTGTTCCAACTTTTCTTCTGTGAGCCTCCTTTGGTCAGGAGCTGTAATCCAGTGGGAGCTCAGTGCCCCAGGAACAGGGTCTTCTGTAGTCTGTGCCTCTAGTCCTGAGTGTGTATGTGGGAGGATGGGAAGGGGACAGCCATGTGGCATTCAGTTCTGGCCTTGGATTTGAAGAGAGGCTAAAGTCTCTTTAACAGGCAACAGGGCTCATTCTGTTTGGGCACGAAGGGATGATATACGGCTGGTATTCAATGGAGTAAGTGTCCTTTTGGACAGTGTCAGAAGTTCAGATGTGTTTTTTAAGCCAGTATGGCAGAGAGCCAAAAAACTCCTGCAAGAGGAGCTGGGAGACAGAGGAAGATTATGTGGCCGTTAGTCCTCAGTCTTTTGCTATAATGGCATATTCTGCCAAACACAAATTTCCTGAGAGCTTGTTATTCCAGGTGGCTGATTGCCAAGCCATGAGCCCTCCCGTCAGCTCAATCTGTCAGCTTCCTGCTTGAGAAGGATATGCTAATGACATGCAAATGACCTGCTGAGTGAGGCGCTCCACTATCATTTATCCAGTAACCACAGCTACTGCAATATATTGCTATAAAATATTAGACCCAGTTATTTATATAATGATATAATACAGGTTTGTCTATGGCACTGTTGTTTTAATCTATAATTATATGATCTTGCTCTATTCCTGTAATACAGTAATGTAATATAATTATAATGCACTATATATCTCATTCATTATCAATATAATAGCAATTTGTACCATTAGTGCTTCCTGGGGAACAAAGCGCCCTCGTGTCTGTCCTCATTATGCTGACCTTCCTATCACCCTGAATTCTCATCATTGCCACCATGTGGCACAGAAACTGACTTACCTAAAGGGGTAAGACACCTGCTCCTTGGAAAGCAGTGTCCTTTCTCCTGCACCTCCACCCCCTTGCATGAACATAACCCAGGGGTCTTCAAGTCTGTGTCCTGTTCCTACAAGGACAGCTGACAGATTCCCAGGGGCTGAAGCAGGGCTCAGGACCCCTCTGGGCTCCATGTTGTCCTGACTGCTCTTCTATCCATTGGGACGCTCATGGTGGTCTTGCTCACATGGTGACTGTGCTGACATTTCCTAGGCAGCAGGAAGTCTAAGCCCCCCAGGGAAGACTTGGGCCTTGGAGATGCTGCAGGGCCCGAGAGAAGCAAAGCTTGTCTCTACCTCTTAGTCAGTGTATCTGATCCTCGAACAAATCCTCGTATTTATCAACAAGTATAACTTTGCAAAATGAGTAATCAGCGTCTTAGGAAATTAAAAATAGCTGATAAAAGCAAGGCAGGATGACATATCCAGCTCGGTTTACTCCTACATAGAAAATGTCTCCTTTTTCATGCGTTCATTGACAGATGATTGGAAGCTGATACTTCTGGAAGGCTTGGGGCACATGTGGCTATGCAGTGGGTCACGCTAAAGACCCCCAGTGTCAGGACTGCTCTAGGTCCATCAACAGTATTAATATCCTCATAATCACACTGGGATTCCCCATTGTCTTCAAATCAATATGACAATTAAATGTTGTTCCTGAGCCATCTCTGGGCTCCACTTGGGGGAGTTAAAAGCCCACAATGAGCGTTTAGTGCCTGTCTCACTCTGAAACCATTGTTGCTGTAACATTTGTCAAGTGTCCAATTAGCCACTGTGGGGTGGCAGCAGGGTAGGGATATTTCATATTGAGGGGTATGTGTTGCTTCATAGGCAAAAGGATAGCACATGGGAAGGTTTGCTTTCTGGTGGTAGATAATGATGTGGGATGGTGGGCCAGGGTATAGGATAGACTGGGAAGAGGACTCTGGTGATCTAACTGTGACATTCTGAACTATAATATGGGGACAGGTCAGTCTTACTTGTCACCCTCCAGGGTACTAGTTTCTTCCAAACCAGACTGCAGCCCTCCATTTCCTCTGCTAACTCATGATAGCCAGTGTCCTGGACACTAGGGAAAGGACCCTCAGATACTGCCCCCTCCAGCCTCTGGCCCCTGGTCCTATAGAACCTGTGTTCTATAGAAGGAAGACAGCCTGTGACTTATAGCAGAGGGTAGACTAATGTGCAAGTCTTGGACTCATTGCTTATATTTTCTTCCAGAGAATTCTAGTGAGCTGGCAAGACTGTGCCCCCCAAATTGCTCATTTAGTCTGTGGTGACCCTTTCCTGCACTACTGCAGATTTCCTGGGATGTGTGGGATAGAGTGAGGAAAGGAGCTCCCTGGTGTATAACCCCAGTTTGGCAGGGGACAAGGAGGCACTGCCAACAGCACGACCCACATTTGGGCCATGGATTTCACTTTGCCCCTGAGTTCTGGCAAGTCTCTGAGCTGGCACTCACAGTCCAGTGTGTCTCCTTTCTACCTGTTAGCCTAGCCAAGCTTACTCTGTGTCCTTCCAGGCTTGGGCCTTGGGTCTCTATCTAGTCTGACACCTAAAAGAGTTGTCGACAAGAGTGACTGGGGATGACCAAAGCAGATGTCACCCTGCCTTCTTCTAGCTTACATGCACAGTCCTATCTCACTGCTGTGTTAAACAGCCTGGATTACAGCCTTTGAATGGTCTAGTATGTAGGCTAGGGGCAGTTTTGGTGAGGAAGAAGCAATGTGATTTTTAGCTTTTGGTGAATGTGAGAGGATGCCCTGTGTGAACTGTGACCTCCTTACCTCTCCACATGGTCCACGTTGCCTGATACACCAAGTCCTCCAAGGGTGTAAATCTTCCCATCATAGACAAGGCTGTTATGCCGACAGCGTGGGACCGTCATTCTGGAGACCAGGTTCCAGTTATCGAGCAGGGACATGTAGCACCAGACATCAGCCAGCGTCACCCCTGATTCCATCCCACCTGTAGGCGGTATGGGGGTACACAGGCAGGCAGGGGCTGAGGAAGGGCCCAGGGTTGGCAGGCCCAGCCCTAGGGGCAGAAGGAAGAGGCTTCACCTACAAAGCAGACACTCTGGGGACTTGGCCTTCCTCAGCCCTGCCATGTGGGCAGAGGTCCCTTTGGGGATCCCATCTCGGTCCCCATCCCAGTCCTGAGGGCTCACCTGAGAGGTAGATGTTGTCCCCCGCACTCACTACACTGAAGAACTCGCGGTCATAAAAAGGCAGCGAGGCCAGGGGGTACCACTTGTTGTTCTGTGGGTTCCAGCAGGTGACAGCCACCAGTGAGCGCTGGGTCATCCCCACCATCTGACGGCCCCCAACCAAAACGATGACCTCAGCCACACCTGCAGGGACATGGATGGGCACCCTTGGATCACACCCTGATACTGTCAGCATCCATGCCTGGCTTCTCTCTGTGGGACCACCCAGAGCCGGGTTGACCTCACAGCACCTGCAGATGGTGGGTTTGGGCCAGTACCAAATTGAGTACCTGCTGAGAGGCGGGGCCGGGTTCGGGGTGTTTGCATCTCCTGGCGGGCGTGGGGCAGCATGTGGTAGCGTTTGGCCTCATTGACTAGGTCCCGACATGCTTCCGATGATTTGATTAGCTCCTCGTTGTCCACCACATTGAGCAGGTAGCTTGGGTGGATGAAGGGGAGACGGACAACTGCCAAGAGCTCAGCTGCATACTGTGAGAAAAGGGAGACACAGGCTTTGCTCAGACTCCGGGAAGGGAGGTGCCTCTTGTGAGTTGTATGGAGAAGGGAAAAAGAGGTGTGGGGTTGCCCCAAGGTGATAATTCCAGGCTGTGCCTGGCTTGGAAGTGCCTACACTCTGCCCAGCCTGGCATAGACAGACAATGGAAACCTGTTGGTTGAGCTGTGAGGGGCAGTTAGTACACCTGGAAGTTGCAGCTGGCCTGGGGTGGCCCATCCCTCCATCCATCCATCCATCCCTCCCTCCATCCATCCATCCATCCATCCATCCCTCCCTCCCTTCCTCCTCCCTCCATCCATCCATCCATCCATCCATCCATCCATCCATCCATCCATCCATCCCTCCCTCTAGCACCTCATTTCCACACTCCACCCAGGTTGTGGCTGCTTGCTTTATACCAGGCTGCCAGGGGCGAACCAAGGAGAGTATGAGTCTCAACGAGGTGTGAGTGCAGTAGGATCTTGACAGCAGGTGAATTTAAAGGAGACAGTGACTTGTAGATGACTGTGAGAGCTTTCAGGTCCCCAACACCACAATTCCCTGGTCTCCTTATCTCACACTGGCTCCTGGCTCTTCTCACCCTCTATTGAAGGTTTTTCATGGACTGACTTGAATCTCTCTGCTACCTGGCGAGCTGCTCATCATGCTGTCCACTTCACTTTCAGCCCATGAATAACTGGTGACTATCACGTGTCACGCATTAGTCTCGTTACTGGGGGTGCAGAGGCTGATGAGACCTCCCTCTGTGACATCAAGGTGTTCACAGTTTTATGGCAGTCAGGAACAGGAGTCTAGGTAGAGCTGCAGGGTGTTCAGGAGTGAGAGGTGTCATAGGCAGATGATGTCTGAATTGGGTGATGTCTGATTGGGACTCCTTCCAGGTGGAAGGTAGGGGAGGCAACCATTCAAAGCCTGAGCAGAGCCATGGAGAGTAAAAAAGATGTTGCATTTGGGGGATTACATGGAGTTTATTTTGGTTGGATAAAAAGATTTTTGTTGGGGGTTGAGCAATTATCAGATAGGGAACAGTGAGCCTGGAGAAGTTCTTGTGGACAGGCCTGGTTGATCCCATCCTACACTGGCCACTGGCTGTGGGACTTCTGCGAGTTGATGTGGGAACCAATGAAAGATTTTAAACAGAGTGACAACGTGACCCAATTTGCTGTTTAGAAAGAACACTCCTGCTGCAGGGTAGAAAATGGATTTAAAGGGAGCAAGATGGATGGAAAGGAAACCACTGCAGAGATGCTGGCTGTGACCTTGTTGAGATAGGGATGGGGGCGGGAAAGAGGGATGTGAACCCATCTAAGAGGGAGGAAGGAGGCAGAAATAATCACTGTGTGACCAATGAATGGACCGTGTGGTGGAATTATGTTTGGCAGTGGGCAGGACTGAAACAATGAACACAGGAAAGGTGTGGGCTTTGGATTTGATGAATTAGAAAGGTTGATGTCCAGTAGGTGACTGAAGGCAGAGACCTGCAGCCCAGAAGGGAGCTTGGGATGGGGAGGTAGATTTAGAGAGCTGTAGTGAATTGTGGCAATCACTATTATTAGCTGCCAACCTAATTTACTTCCTTGGAAAAGAAATCTTGCCTTCTCCCCAACTAATGAATCCAAGGACTTCCCCTCTGAGGAGCTGAGGGGCTCTGAGAAGCTGGCAGCTGGGTTGAGGTAAGGCAGTCATCTCTGCATGCCATTTGCACGCAGTACCATTGATCTTAGCATCTGGTCCATCCCTCTCAGCCTTGTCCCTCTTCTTGCTCTCGATGGAACATGACAACTCAGTTACCTCAGGGATCTGGCCTTTCTGATTCTGTTCCTCCTGATCAGGTCCTTATTTTGGGGCTATTGTCCTGTTCTTTGGGTGCATTCCCCCGTCCTGGGCTTCATGCACCTGCACCAATTCCCATGTTTTTCACCCAGGAGAACCAAGGCAATTCCCTTCTGAGTGGGGCCTGTCAGGGCTTTCTAGGGTGTGCATGTAACCAGTGGGTGCCCTGTTACACAGGTGTCCCTCTGGGGACATTGCCATCCTTTCCTTCCTCCTCTGGAAAAAGGCTTGGCTTGGATTCCGCCAATGTTCTCTCCTGTCAAGTGTGTGTGCCTTGGTTTCCTGTCTCCAGTGTGGTTTCTATTTGTTCTCCATTCATTGATAACCAAAGCATGCTGGGGCTCCTCTTGAGGGTCTGAGCTGCAGAGAGCCTAAGCACCCTGCTCAAGCACCCACTACACCCTGCAGGGCCCAGTGCTGCCCACTGGTCCCTGGTCAGCTTGCATCTCCTTCAAAATGGAATGGCACCTCTGGTGACTGATGCTTGTCTGTACAACCTCCCTTCCCCTCTCAGCTGTCGGGGAAGGAGTGTGTGTGTGTGTGTGTGTGCGTGCGCGCGCGCAGCACCTGCCTAGTGCCTTCCATACACCCCCTGCTGGCCAGACAGGAAGCCCTACCTCATTCACCTTCCTTTATCCTTGCTGCAGACTGAAGGGTACCTCAAACCCAAAAAGAAGGGACAGGGAGGGGCAGTCCCTACCTGGGCACGTGATGCAGGATCCTTCTTGATCCACTTGATGACTGTCTCATACACCAGTTCCTCGGCCTTGGTGTTGAGGCTGTCATTGGAGACATAGGCGATGAAGTCATCCTTGGAGATGCTGAGAATCTCTTCCTGGGCTGCCACCTCAGGGAAGATCTGCAGCGCGAAGGCCTTGGCCATGTGGTAGAGCTCGCTGCACTGCATGGCCTCTGCCATGGCCAGTACACCCAGGCAGTTGCTGGCGGTCAGCTGCTTCTCTGGGATGACAATGTAGGACCACTGACCCAAGGGCCCTGAGAGAGTTGCCTCTTGTTCCCACCACCATCACCAGATCCCCCTCTGTGTCCATGTCCTTATGACCCTGCCTCCAGCATCCAGAGTCCCCACGAGCCCCTTCCTGTGTCCATGCCCTGGGTTTTCCTCTGCCCCAGCTCATGCTGACTCTCCTAGGCCTCCCTCTGCTGCTGCAGGTGCTGGCAGAGGGAAGAAGACTGTGAGGGGTAGGAAGTTTCCTCACTGCCTTTTGCGGGAGGGCTGGGACTTCAGAGGCTGCACCTGGGTGGGGGATGGGGCCACACTGTGGCTACGGTGTCTTCCATGATCATGACAAGCATGCATGAGGTCCCAGATTCCTTTGGTAGTCATGTCAGGAGTAGCACCCTCATATACTAATCCGCTGCCTCTCATAGGCCTCAACCTCCCCCAGTCCACCCTCTAGAATCTGAGGTAGACCTGGCCAGTAGTCCTGAGATCTGGCTATGACTCTTCTGGCCCACACAGGTCCATCAGCATGTGAGTCTCACACTCAGCCACCCTGGCTCTTGACCCTTTTAGATTGCTCAGTCCCCTAGTTGTCCTTACCTGAGCTGCTCCCACCTGACTCAACTAACTTTCTCTCTCCACATGTTATACCCTAAGCCACAGTTCTTTCTGATACTTGTTCTTTCCCCCCACCCCCACCCCCAAGCTGGACAGTACTAAGCCACAAAGTAAGCATGTTCTGGGTTGAGAGCCTGGGGAAGACCCTGACACCTAGATTCCTCATCTTGTCCACAGGCCTGGGCATCCAAGGGACAGTTCAAATGGCTAGGCCTGTCCTTGCATCTGGGGTAGCCCAGGCATTAATACACTTAAGAGGAAACAGGTGTGTGGCTGCTTCATTCAGGACTTGTAGGCAAGGGCAGAGACCAGGCTCTCCCATGAACAGATTGTTTGGACAGTCTCGTGGCCCATTGGTTCTCACAAGGCCTGCTGGGCTATGGTGACCCTTTCCTTCCTACAAGTGATGCAGAGTCCCCCTAAGACCATACTTTGCATCAGGTTATTCAGGTGCTCAGGTGAAAACAGTGTGGTGAAATCCAGCCATATCACGGAGTGGTTTAGGGGTACACACAGTCCTCCCCTCTCAATCCTTGCTGGGTTTTTCACATATCTGCACTATTCCTCCCAAGTGACACAGGGGCCCCCTGGCAGCTCACCAAGAAAGGACACACAGACTTTGCAGAAGGTGTGGAACTGGAACTTGCTGGCTGCCTCCAGCAGAGTCTTGGCATTGGCAGAGTCGATGACCAGCGAGCCTGTGTAGACAAACTCCAGCAGCAGCTCCAGCACGTCAGCCTGCAGATTGGACAGCACCAGCTCCAGCTTCTCCCGGCTGCCCTGGCTGCCATCCTGCACCGACCTAGGCACAGAGACCAGGGTGTCCTCACCTGCCACCCCGCGGCCACTGTGCCGCTTTCTCACAGGGCCAGATCTCCCTGTACACCTCTGTCACGCCTTTCGTTTTAGGACTCAAAGGACACAGCAATGACACACCTGACCCTAATGACCTGACACGGGATCTGAAAGAGAAGAGTCTGACCAGAGGCGCCCAAAAGAACAGAAAACCCTGCTTATCACTACTCGGCATGTCCATGCAAAAAAAGATGCAAATCAAAAAGCATGAGCTGTGGATGGGGACGAGGACCAGGACTGGCCTCAAAGGGAAACAATACGGTTCAGCCCCCTGCTGGCCCTGGTGTCTGCACCAATGGGACCAGTGTGCCCTGTCAGCGCCCACTAGCTACCTCAGATGGCAGATTCTCCAGCTGCCCACGGCTTGCAAGGATCCCAATTAGCTGGCATCTCAGCCAATCAGGAGGCTTCCTCTGAGTGCCTACAGACCCAAGGCCCCAAGCTGCCCCAGGAGCCCCTCCAACCCCATTGCTTTCCAAAAACATATTGTTTCCTTTTAGGCATGGAAGGGAAGCCCTTCATGACATTGCTTTGAAACTGAAGACGAGACGAGATAGACTAGACGGACAGAATGGTTAGAGCTGGGAGGGGGAGAGGGGAACAACCAAGGACTTCCGCCACAGACAGCCAGCAGCCATGACCTGGGGCCTGGCCCGGGGCGGGGGCCCTCCTGCCACATGGAACACGGGGTCAGAGGTCAGAGTGGCCTGCGTGTAGAGTGTGCATCGGGCTTGTGAACTGGGGGGGAGTAGGGGAGGGACACAAATATATCAGTATGTTTATATCTGGTGTCTACAGAAATACGAAACCATTACAAAGGCTCCTAAGGCCTGGCAGCCGCTCCCTAAAGCTGGACCTGGAAGGAAACAGATAAGATGAAGCAAAAATAACACCGACACAGAAGTGAGGCCGGGAAGAAAAATACCCAGAGCGTTAAAAGTCAGGAGGCAGGTTTCTCAGAGGCCATCAGCTTGGCCGCCCCGTCTTGGCCACTGACTTCTGAAGTTCACCCACTCACTTCCAAGGAGGCCAGGGAATCAAGACTCTCGTGACTGGTTCCTTGAGTGTACCTGGGGCTGGCAGTGGGGGTGGAATGGTGCCTGGCAAAGCAGCAGACTGGCCACAGAGAAGCTGGCCACTGTGTACGTGGGTGGACAGAGCACTGGCAAGAAGTGAGGGAACCTGGGTGCCCTGCTTTGCCACTGACAGGTGGGCAGCCTGGGCCTCTCAGGCCCTCAGCTTCCTCTTCTGTAAAACAAGAGGATTGAACTAAATGAAGCCTAACATTCCATGAAGACTTAGCATAACACCCATCCTTCCCATGAGGCTCTTTTTATGTGACAGTACCCGCATTTCTACCATTAGGGCAACATTCTTTTAGGTTAAGGCCTTTAAAACCCAGACACAATCCTGCAGAGATCAGGTTACACCACTGCTGGTGTTCAGGGCTCCCTCCCAGGGGTGCTGTGCTGGGCCTTTTCTACCACGCTCCCTAAGAGACCTTAGGCTTCTAAGCCTGGGCAAGCCTAGGAAGCTGAGAAGACAAGCTGCAGGCCACACAGAGGGTCTGGTCAGAGGACCCTCCAAACCCCCACATGTGCAGTGATTCCTAAAGTGACTTCATAGATCTTATCTTCTGTTGTCAGGATGGACTCCCATGCTTGGGTATCTCTGTTAGGTATAAAAAGAGTTTATTATGTACTCCCCTGATATCAGAAATCCTTAGTGCTGCAGGCTTCAGAGGCCATCTGGTCAAACTCTTGTTCCAAGTCTTTGCAGCCTTTGCCTTCATTCCCTTGTGCCACTAACTGGTCTTTCCTACGTATGCCGGACATGCTCTGTGAAGGTCACACTGGACCACAGCCCAGAAGAGCTGATGGAATCAAAATGGGTTGCTTACCTTCTCCTAAGTTTCCTGTCACTGTTGCCTCCACTACTGATCTGCCTAGCTGTGTCCCAAGTCCTCAGGCAGAGGATCTCAGCCCAGTGAAGAGCTGAGGTGAGATTTCAGGATGCATGCACACACACACACACACACACACACACACACACATATGTGACATAAAGGTTCATGACCATGGCTAACCCAGTGAGAAGGGGTGATGGCAGATGGACAGCCTGAGGCCCCAAGTGATGTTTGAAGGACCGGCACAGCTTCACTGAGAGGAGGTCTGTTTGTTTCTCCCAGAGTCTGAACCAGGGGGAGGGTCCTGGGGAGGTACTTGAATTGCTGAGGAGCACTAGATTGTGAGGTGCCCTGCAGGGGATGGAGAGTATAGTGATGCCGTTAAGTTGGAGGGAATCCTGGCCATGGGATGCGAGGCTGGGGTTCTGCTCTGGTGGGGTGGAAGGGATCATTGGACAAGTGATTTGTAGGGAGTGGGGTTAGAAATGCTGACCTTCTCACTTGGCCTTAGGGGAATACTTTGAGTGTGAGGGAGGCTTTGTTGGCAGCTGAGTCCAAGGTCTGAGGAGGCAAGGCCCAGACAGGGAGGTCTGTGCATCTTATCAGCACACATGTGATATCTACACAGGTGTTGTGAAGGCTGAGGGAGTTTGGCAGCAGTTTTGTCCCTGACTATGGACTGGGCCTGTATGACTATGTATGGGCCTGGACTATTGTTCCTTAGGTCTTCTCTCCAGAGACACCTCTTCTCCAGAGGTCCCTAGGGGGCATATCTTTGATGGGCAGCTCTTATCACTAATATGGGACTGCATTCTCTATAGGCAACTGTTCTGAGCTGGCTCTTTGGGATCTGAGGGTCCTGTTCCACTTGGCTGTGTGGCATGACTGCTGGCCCATCAGGGTCATAACATAAGTCAGAAACAGGCAGCAGTGACATTGTCTGTGATCCTGACACATAGGGAATGGAAGTGTGGAATCCCAGCACACACAGTGCCTAAGGGTTCCATCAGAAGACTAGAACTTCCTGAAGTCACCTTCTTTCAAAATGGGGTGACCTGGGTGAGCTCAGGGTCCTGGTCACAGCCCCTGCTGGGCAAAGCTGGGTCTGTCAGGAGTGCCTATCCCTAACTAGCAGGACCTCGGAAATCCTACCATTGGCAGTGGACTCCTCTGGGACATGAGTTGCCCTCTCCAAGATTTTGGGGTGGAGTCCCTCACCCACCCTCATACACCTCTGTGGCTATATGCTTACATTTTGCACATTGGAACTGGACACTGTCTGTCAGTTGGGTTGTTTTTTTTCCTTCGTGGTACTGGGAATCGAACCCAGGGTCTTGTGCTTATGCATGCCAAGTAAACACAACCACTGAGCCACACCTCAGCCCGGAGCTGGGCATTGTCTGTAACAATGCAAGGGATCTATGGGACAGTTGTGAGTGACTGACAGGCACGGGCAGGTGATGACCATGGCTGGTACTCTGATCTGTCCTTCCGATGTAATTCTCACCCTGCTCCATTTCCTTAGCTCCAGGGCTCAGTGTTTGGGTGAATCCAAGTCTCACTGTGTCCTGTGACTATGGGTAGGCCCTTGACCACCCCTTGAGAGGTGGTCATGGGTAATGGGTCTGGCTTTCGCCATTCTCTTCAGCATCATAGAAGTGTAAATCTCTCCTTTTGTTACTGAGGAATGGAGAAGGTGCTGTCATGCACAAATGTGCAACTCCTTGGGGAAAGAGGTGCAGAGTGTCCATCTTGACCCTGTGTCACTGGGTGAGGTGAGTTCTTAAGTTAGTATCTACTGTAGCTTCCCACATCATGGCTGGAGAGGGAATGAGAAGCCCAGAGCCTAGACATGGGGTCTTAGGAAAATCAACTTAGAAAACACAACTGATCTGCCCACCCAGGTTTTGTGAGGTAAGGATGGTAGGACGCCAGGTGTAGAGGTAAAGGTATAGGGAGCGACAGCTCTCCGCTGGAGCTCCCACACCTTTACTTGAGTTGTACTGGAAAGAGCCTGAGAAGTCAGAAGGAGCCACCTCTGCTGTCTTTTAAGAATGGTTCCATCCTCTCTGATAGGGCCTGCAGCTCACCCAGTCAGCCACCTAGTGGAAGTAACTGGCATGGTGACCAATGTCCCCTGTGGCACATTCTTGGTGCCCAGAAAATAAGTGAAGGGATTTCTCCATAGACCAAAAGAGAAAATCCAGGGCTGATCTATGTCCTGCTTGCTCAGGACCTGGGAGACCACTCCCAAGGGCAACTGCTAGGGTTCCCTCCAAGCACTCATTGTCAGCTACTTGTGTCCTGAAGGGACAGGTGGGGCAGGCCTAGGGCTCCCAGCTTTGCCTGTGTTTCCTGACAGCCTCATGCGCTCCTGCCCAAGAGCTACTCAGCCTCCAGCACTCACCCAGAGGACTCAGGCAGCTATGCACGTTAGGTGCCAGTGGGGGCATTCTCTCTTCTTTCGTTAGGTTTGTGGCCAGTTTACAAATCTCTCTCTCTCTCATACACACACACACACACACACACA